TGAGCTGATGGGCCTTGTGAATTTTAAATTGAGATTTGAGGGAGGGACTAATAATGTGGTGCACAAAGGAAAGGAGAACATTCCAGGATTATACAGCAGTGTAGGAAAGGCATGAAGATTAGAGGGGGAGAAGGAAATGAAAGGACTGGTTAATCAGAAAGCTTGAGTGGAGTTAAGTGGAGAAAGTTCAAAAAAGAACTAGATAAATTCATGGAGGATAGGTCCACCAATGACTATTAGCCAGGATGGGCAGGGATGGTGTCCCTAGCCTCTGTTTGCCAGAAGCCGGGAATGAGGGACAGGGAATGTATCATTTTGATGATAACCTGTTCTGTTCATTCCCTCTGGGGCACCTGCCGCTGGCCACTGTTGGAAGACAGGATACTGAGCTAGATGGACCCTTAGTCTGACTCAGTATGGCCATTCTTATGAGAAGGGGGAATAGGAAGAAATAAGTGCTGAAATGTAGACAGGAGCGAAGTTATGCAGTGTCTCAAAGGCAAGAATCAAGAACTTAAACTCCTGATACAGAAAATGCTGGGTAGTTAGAGAAGGGACTTAACTGAGACAGATTGGATGAAATCCTGGCCCTATTGAAGTCAGCGTGAGGTTTGCAATTGACTTGAGTGGGGACTGAATAGCAGGGGAAGAAAATGATTTTGGGCCATTTGAATTCTGGGTCGATTGCAGGGGGACAGTGTGAGAATCAGTGAAAGGAGGTGCCAGGCTGGATGAGGATGTGAGTGGTAGAAAAGGAGAAAAATGGCAGTTCTTGCACATGCAACTCTCATTGGAACTGACACTGAAGTCAATAGGAGTTTTGCCCAGATTCTGACTGCAGAATCAGGCCCCATTGCAGGAGTTCTGTATGCAAAAAAAAAAAAAAAAAAAAAAGTAGCAGGCTGCAACTAGAATGCATGTAGTTAACAGCAAAGAATGATGAAGTGGGTTCTAGTCACGAAAGCTTATGCCCAAATAAATTTGTTAGTCTCTAAGGTGCCACAAGGACTCTTCGTTCGCTGATACAGACTAACACAGCTACCACTCTGAAACCTGCTTTGCTATCCTTACAGGAATACTGTTAGTCATTTAATAAAATATTGAAAGTTAACTTTAAGAAAAATCCCAGTTTCTGGTAGAGCTCCTTTTAAATAGTGTGTCTGAATCCTTTCTTTAAATACAGTTACAAAAATGTTTGCATGGATTTTTCAGCTCCCCTGTTGATTTCTCCCCTGGTGAAAAAGACTTAACTAAGGTCCCAGTGCTGCAAACATGTATGCACAAACCTTATTTAACAGGGGAGCATTGAACCCGGTTATATCCAAATCAGTTTTAAATACACAAAGAGAAAAAATTGAGGGTGGTTTTTTTTTTTTGGTGCTAATTTCTTTGTCATCCATAGTTAGAAGTAACCTCTCAAATTATTCTCAATGCTAGATTTTCAAGCAAATGTTACTTTCAGGTTGACAGTGTCCTTTAAATTGGTTGCAAGATAAAGTTATAAAAGAGCAAAAATAATGCTCAGTACATCTTCCTCACTGATTTCAGTGCACTCTGACCACATGTTGTAGATGCCAACTAAATGAGTGTGAATATATCTGGATATCCACAAATGAAGTAAATATACTTATCATACACCATATTTATGTATTACTTTATTTGGATATATAAAATAACCAGAAGTGCCTGTCTGACAAATACTTAATCAGACAAACAAAAAGTAAAACCCTAGCATACCCATAATGTACAATAACCAGACAGCACAAAAGTACATTTAATTTTCCACTTTTCCTAAACATCATCCCCAATAACATTTGCTTCTTCACAGCTTCCCCCTCCCTCCCTGCCCAAGGATGTGTTTTGCAGATATGCTCTGAAGGTCAACAGATGTAGGTTACTATAGACAAAACAGGGCTGGAGGGATCAGATTCCAAAGGAAAGGGCCTTCACAAAGAATGCCCTGCTACCAGCTCCTCGCCTCCTTCCCCATACATATAGACATCCAGCTCAGGTACCTCAGCAAATCTGAATTATGGAAGTATAGTATAAAAGAGAGGCTGTCAGGTGAGAAAGTCCTAACCTATATTGGGCAACACGAGCACTTGCAACTCTACTCCATGGGATGTGTGCCTTTTTTTTTTTTTTTTTTTTTTTTTTGGTGACTATTCAACACATTAGGAGTGTCCATGCATTTGTAGAGGATTGCATATGTTAGAATGGAGATGTACTGAAGGTTGACTTTGAGACAGCCCTTGTCACTTCTAGGGTCCCAGCACATCAGAAATGCTTTGAAGCAGCAATACATTATGAAAAAAAACAAACAAACAAAAAAACCCTATTAATGAAACCCTAACATTGTAATTCTAATCACCCTCATCAGGAAATCAGGACATTTGAAGTTTTATGGCTAAAGTCTCTGCTGGGGATAATTCCACTGACTTCCCATAATTCCCACAGCTATTGTAACTCAGTCATACATGTGGATTCAGGCCCAAACCCTTGGTAACTAGAGGACAGAATTCTCCTACCCCCTTCCAACCATAGCATCACTATACATGGGAGTATACTGCAGTCTTGGTATCACTCTGTATATTGGGCATGGTGTAATTGGTTGATCTGGAAAATCACATATCCGCTGGTCATGCCCCCTTTCCCCTCTCTAAATTCCCCCCTGTGAACCTTATTTGTCCAGAAAATTTACCTTGAAAGATTTGAGTATTAGTGTGAGTAGCAGTAGTATTAATACACAGTACTAAATATGCCCAAGACAAGAATCTTAATTTTGAATTTCTTAACTTTTTGTGATTAAAATCTCAGCCATAATGGTTTGGTTATATAAGGGTGGAGTTTTCCCTCTTCTTTTTACATTAAACTTTGAAAATGCAGTAAGAAATCCACTTTTTTATATCTTGAATTTTGCATTTAAGCAAGATTTCACCCCTCTAGTCAACATACCCAATGTTTCCTCGGTAAGCTGTCTGGAATGGTTCATGACCGTGAATGCCAATCTCAGGGCAGACTGTCAAGAAGCAGGGCAGAAACCCCAAACTGACTGCAAGTTCTATCATTAGATTTCACCAACCCAGTCACAAGTGTGAACTCCTAAAGCAGTATAACAGTCTTACCATGGAGTAACAGAAAGTCTCCTTGGGCATTTCAGTCTATCTTTCCCCACCAGGCAAGCTGGACTTAGGCCATGTCTACTCATACAGAGCTGCAGCAGCTCTCCCATCGGCATAAAAAAACCCACCCCAAAGAAGTTCTCCCACCAACATCGCAATGTTGGTGTAATTTACATTGCTCGGGCGATGGAATATTCACACCCCTGAGTGACAAACTTTTGCTGACATAATTGGTAGTATAGATATAGCCTTAGTGATAGATCGTTGCTATGCACCAAGGATAACAAAATATTCAGGTTGCTCCCAGTCCCAAGAGACCAGTCACTTAACATAGGTCAATCTGTACCTCAGATCTCACAGCAAAGATAAGGCTTGTGGCCAATCCTATAGTAAACTAAGGATTTATTAACTAGGAAAAGAAATTAGAGAATTATTGCAAGATTAAAGCAGGTGAGCATATATACACAAATGAGTTAGTCTGTGGTTTCAAAAGGTGACTGAGTTGTAGTGATCTGTCAGCTCCGAATGTCTTTTGGGGCTAACCCAGCTGGACGGTGAAGATCTCTGCTTCTATTTTGTAGGTCTAGCCCTGTGAGAGTCCAAACAGCAAAAGATGAAAAAAATTGTTTTCAGCTATTTTTATTTCCTCCTTCCAGAATTCAAGCTGTTTGGATGAGACCTTTTGCAGGTAGCCTCTTCATTGGTGTGAGGTGGCAACTAACAAAGTCTTTGTATTATGATGTCCCACAATGGCCCATTTAGATTTGATAGTCCTTCTTGAGGGGCAGGAGAGGATCCCTCCTGACTGGGTTCACAGTTTAAGAGCAAATATTTATTACTATTACAAAGCAAAAACTTAAATGTGACCTTATAGCATGTGATAAAGACATAAGTGAGATTAATGTATGCAGCAGCTTACAAGCATTTAATCAACTCTAAACACATTGTTGTAAGTCCAATAACCATCTTAACTATACTAACACCCAGGTGAGGTGGGCTGGTTTCCAGCAATGAATTTGTCAGTTCTTGGCTGAGGCCTAAAGCCCTGGCAAGAACTGGCACCTGGTCTGCCAGCACCACAGTAAGTTCTTTGGGGTCACGGACTACCATCTGATGTGTTGGTACAGCACCTAGCCCCATACCCTTCATGACTGGAGCTCCTAAGTGTTACCACACTACAAATACATCAAAAAACATTTTGTGTTTTTCTTTTACATGCCTATGTTTTGAGGGAAGGGAGGGGAGAGAATTAGGTCAATCCACAATGTCAAATCCTTTTTGATTTTGCTGTCTGGAACATGGACAGACGGCAGCAACGATTTGCATTTTAGGTAACAGGCACAGTGGATAATGAGGTGTGGAGGGGGAGGGTTACTTGGAAGGCAAAGAGGGAGACAAGGCAGAGAGAAGAAAGAAAAGAGCGGGAAAGAAACGGGATGAGAGAAAGAAAAGGCGGAGCCTGAGGGAAAAACTTGGGAGAAGGAAAGTGGGAGAAAAAGGAGAAGAGGAAGGATGGAAAATGAGAAAAAGGAAACGGAAAAGGGGAAGGCTGAGGAGGAAAGAACTCAAGAGAAGAGGGAAGGGAAAACCTAAAGCAGGGGCATGAGAGAGAGAGAGGAGGACAAGGAGCATTGCAGCCAGCGAGGCTCAAGGGGTTCGGCCGCCCCAGTGCCGGAGGGGGGCAGCTCCAGGGGCGCACAGGTCCCTGTGGCCCAGAGCTAAGGCTGCGGGGGAGCGGCGGAGCCCGCTTTCTCTTGCCTGCCGAGGTCACCGGCTGGCGTGGGGAGCAGGGGGCGGGGAAACCCCCACCACGCTCCTCTTGAGCCGCTTAAATAGCTGCGAGCGCGCCGGGCCAGTCCCATCTCCCCCTCCCGGCACAGGCAGCGGGCGGCTGCCAGAGGCCGGCGGGCCCTTCACACGCGCTCCCCGCCCGCTCCCCTCCCCGACTCCCGCAGCCGTGGCGCGGCCGGACGAGCAGGCGGCGGCGGCGGCTTCTGGGGCAGCAGGGGCCGCGTCCCCGCGGGATGGAGCTGGGGGACCAGTAGGGCCGGTTCCCCCGCCGCCTGCCCGGCTGGGCTGAGTGCCCCGGCCCCCTGCGCCCGCGGCCGGCTTGGATGCTCCGGGGCGCAGAGCCCAGGATGGCGGGGGCGCAGGAGCAGGTGAGGCAGGGCGCGTGGGACAGGCAGCGGCTCCGGTGGCCGGGGCAGAGCGGAGAAGTGCAGGGCGCGGGGAGGGTTTGGAAAGAATCGCCGCTGTCCTGCCGTCAGAGCCTCCCCGCCCAGAGGGTCTGGGGCGCGTCACACGTTCAGTGGGGGAGGCGGACTACTGTCGGGCGTGGTGTTTGTGGGGGGCTAATGCCGCTGAAGTGGTGCTCCCACCTACACACCGGGCGGTGGTGTCACTTGGAGGGAGGGCTCTTGCTTTCTTATTGTTAAACGCCTCTTTGAAACACAGGGCAGACCTCCTCCATCCGAGAGAGACGTTAAAAAACCCAGCATTTTAAAGTTTAAAGGCGCGGGAGTCCTCTTCCATAGGAGTGGGATTTGGGAAGGCGGGGTGTGTGTTGTGTAAACAGATTCCTCTGTGCTGTTTTGCTTTCTTAATGCTAAAATGTATTCATTTTATTTATTTATTTTCTGATGAATCTTCTCGGTGGTGTTCTGCTTCAATGCGTTTTGACTGCTACTCTTAGGAGGTGTTAGAGGAACAGCCGTGTTAGTCTGTATTCGCAAAAAGAAAAGGAGTACTTGTGGCACCTTAGAGACTATCCAATTTATTTGAGCATGAGCTTTCGTGAGCTACAGCTCACTTCATCAGATGCTGCATCTGATGAAGTGAGCTGTAGCTCACGAAAGCTCATGCTCAAATAAATTGGTTAGTCTCTAAGGTGCCACAAGTACTCCTTTTCTTCTTAGGAGGTGGTAATCTGAATCTTCCCGTAGGAAAACTTGCTCTCTTTATCATAAGGAATAACGATTTTTAGTATGGAACTAGAGAGCCCTAGGCTCTCTGAAAGATTCTCCGAGTTAAACCCTCCCCATTGGACTGATTCACCAAGTGATGTCTCACTCAGGTACCTGCTGCTCCTGCAGGATCTGCGCCTATTAGACCTTTTTGATCATAGCCAGAAAGTGTTGATGGAGAAAAGAATATATATTAGAAGCCCCAAAGCAGATTTCAGAGTTGCAATCTGTGTGTGAAGCTGATTAATGAAGTGTCTTGCTAAGCAACCCGTGTGAACGTTTGTACATTGTTTAGGAAAATTTTCAAATAACAGCTTAATAAACTTATAACAAAAAGGGGATTTGTTTGTGGATTGCAAATTGCTTTTTAATCCTTTGGAGGGAAATGGGGTAGTTTTGCCAAACTACTTATATGATTCTTTCTATAAATTTATGTATGCTTTTCCCATCTAAATACATTTATGTTGCTTTATAAATATTTTAGAATAAAATGTTTCTAAAATGCAGTGATCTTTAAAAGTTCCCACAAAACTAAATTTGTTCGCCAAAATGACCATCATTGCATCCACTAGGATAAATATTTTCTTGTCTTTCTGTAAACTACTATTATAAAAGCCAAGATTTTAGTAACAGAGGGGGTTCTGACAGTTACTAAAGTGAAAGAAATTAAAAAATGAGGCACAAATTAAGGCACATGTCATTTAATCTCAATAGGTTGTTTTCATAGCATACCCAGATGAGTACTTTGTGGATAAGATTTTTTAAAATGGGCTTTTAAAATTACACCAAGGTGATTTTTTGGCACCTAAAGTTTGCAGATGATACAAAGCTGGGAGGTATTGCCAATTTAGAGAAGGACCGGGAAATCATATGGGAAGATTTGGATGACCTTGTAAAGTGGAGTAATAGTAATAGGATGAAATTTAATCATGAGAAGTGTAAGGTCATGCATTTAGGGATTAATAACAACAATTTTAGTTATAAGCTGGGGATGCATCAATTAGAAGAAACGGAGGAGGAGAAGGACTTTGGAGTATTGGTTGATCACAGGATGTCTATGAGCCACCAATGTGATATGGCCGTGAAAAAAGCTAATGCGGTCTTGGGATGCATCAGGCGAGGTATTTCCAATAGAGATAAGGAGGTTTTAGTACCGTTCTACAAGGCACTGGTGAGACCTCACCTGGAATACTGTGTGCAGTTCTGGTCTCCCACGTTTAAGAAGGATGAATTCAAACTGGAACAGGTACAGAGAAGGGCTACTAGGATGATCCGAGGAATGGAAAACCTGTCTTATGAAAGGAGACTCAAGGAGCTTGGCTTGTTTAGCCTAACCAAAAGAAGGTTGAGGGGAGATATGATTGCTCTCTCTAAATATATCAGAGGGGTAAATACCGGAGAGGGAGAGGAATTATTTAAGCTCAGTACCAATGTGGACACAAGAACAAATGGATATAAACTGGTCATTGGGAAGTTTAGACTTGAAATTAGATGAAGGTTTCTAACCATCAGAGGAATGAAGTTTTGGAATAGCCTTCCAAGGGAAGCAGTGGGGGCAAAAGACCTATCTGGCTTTAAGATTAAACTCAATAAGTTTATGGAGGAGGTGGTATGATGGGATAACATGATTTTGGTAATTAATTGATCTTTGACTATTCATGGTAAATAGGCCCAATGGCCTGTGATGGGATGTTAGATGGGGTGGGATCTGAGTCACTACAGAAAATTCTTTCCTGGGTATCAGAGGAACAGCCGTGTTAGTCTGTATTCGCAAAAAGAAAAGGAGTACTTGTGGCACTTTAGAGACTAACCAATTTATTTGAGCATGAGCTTTCGTGAATCTTGCCCATATGCTCAGGGTTTAGCTGATTGCCATATTTGGGATCGGGAAGGAATTTTCCTCCAGGGCAGATTGGAAGAGGCCCTGGAGGTTTTTCGCCTTCCTGTGTAGCATGGACCACGAGTCACTTGCTGGAGGATTCTCTGCTCCTTGAAGTCTTTAAACCACAATTTGAGGACTTCAATCGCTCAGACATAGGTGAGAGGCTTTTCGCAGGAGTGGGTGGGTGAGATTCTGTGGCCTGCGTTGTACAGGAGGTCGGACTAGATGATCATAATGGTCCCTTCTGACCTTAGTATATATGAATCTATGATTTTCAGAAGTGCTGAGCCCTCAGCAGCTCACACTGAAGTGAGGACTTTTGAAAACCAGACCACTTACCAAAGTGCCTAAATGCACCAAGTGCCCCAATCCCAAGAACACCTGTAATCACAATGGCACCACTAAAAACTGATTTTGGGTCTTCACTTCTTATTTAACTGGTTTTATCAGTTTGTATCAGACCTTTATTATAATATGGTGTGTATTTGTTAATACCTTGTGAATGAAATATCCTAGCAAAATTATCTCTACATTTTGTTCCAGGTCATTATGTTCTTCATTCTATTTTGAACAGGTCACATTGATTATTATTATTTCTTAGCAGCCTCTATAAATTCAACTATATAAGAATCCATTTGAATACTTCAGGGTAGAATTCAAACCTAAAAGACAAAATCAGAGTTAAAGCTAAGAAGTCTTTGCCCATGTTTTATTGCCTTTTGCATGTAGGATTGCTGCTGTCTCAGGTGATTGCATGATGTTTTTCTATGTGCTGAAATATCAAGCCACAAAGGGGTCTGTTTAAGATGCTGTGCCTGTTCCAACAGTCTTCAGTCAATCAGAATTCCAACTAAACTTCACTGGAACTGCAGGATTGGGCCCAGATCAGCAATTTATATTTTGTCTTGATTTTATGTGATCAAATCAGATTGTTAATAAAATTGACACAGTTTAAATTTGTTTGTTTATTTATTGGTGCTTAAGTTCTTTCAAATTTTTACGGTATTTAAAATAAAACAAACAAAAAGCAAGCTGGTATTTGCACCAGCTGTCAGTGGCCCAGAAGAGCCATTAAAGGAGCTGAGGGGAAGGCATAGAGATGTGCTAGTGCCCTTCTCAGTGGACAGAGGCCAAGAAGGGGAGGGCATCGGACCCCAGGCAGTGACCCTATGCCACCAGAGGATTCCCCGGAGCTGATGAACTCCTCTGCTGGCTAGTTAAGGTGATCTTATGGCAACTTTGAGTCATCAGAGCATCACAGAGCAACTTCAATGGACTGGAGAATCCAGCCCCTATTTGTGAATTGACCTAATTGTCTCTGTAACTGCCACAAAAAAAAAAAAAATAGGCAACTGTGAATGTAAGTGTATCATATCGCTGGAATAGGTACATAATTATATAGTTTTGAGATACCTAATAGTAACCAGAATAGATAAATATGTGAACCGAAAAGTTTTACTTTTGAATCCCAAAATGGCAGGTACAGCTCCAGATTATGGTATTCCATCTAATGGATGGTACTACTTAGAGACCTTCTAATTTGCAGCTTTCTGACCTGATCAAAGCTTTTGTGGTCTATTGGGTAAATGTACAGTGAGCCAGATCTTCAGCTGGTATAAAATCAGCACAGCTCTACATCTGAGTAAGTGCTGTGTGAGTACAACAAGGCTCCAGTTCAGCAAAGTGCCAAGCGTGTGCTTAAAGTTATATATGTGCTGAATTGGAGCCTTTGTGTGTCTGCAATAATGCTCTATGATATATGTTGTGGCTGTGTAGTGCTTCCTATTTAAAATGAGATAACCTTTAAAAAAAAAGTCCAACTAGCCAAAGTAGTTACTCCGTATGATGGACTAATAGCATGAACATTTTAGTTTTAAATAAATAAAGGTACTATAGAACTACTGGAATGGAAGAGAAAGAATCACTTTAAAGTGTTCTTTCTTGGACTCGGCTAATCAACAGTGACTGAAGAGAGAGTTTCATGGATGTACATTTGTTTTGTTTCTTTATATTACAAAATTAGAGAACAAAATAGTTGTGTGAAACAAGTTGCAAAAATTTCATCATCCAATGAAGAGAAATTAGTTTTTGATTATTTACCCTTTGGGAGTAGTATTTTGACATAGTCTTTAATACATTAAGTATCATGTGCCATAATTTGTTTAATTTTTCTACCTACATTAGATGTGCACTGTTGATGAAATGTTCACTCTAAGAGTTATTATTAGTAATGACAATGCTCTTGTGACAGGACAGTACATTAAAAACAAAAGATAATCCTCACCCTGAAGAGCATAAAGTGGGATTTTCAAAA